TCCTGTAACATCTGCAGTTATGTACTTTTCAAATATGGTATGCACAAAATGTACATCTATTTAAGGTATATCGAAAGCCTATTATCAATATTCCACAGCTCATGTCTTTATCATTAATTTATGTTAGACCAAAAGGGGAAAAATATACATGTTAAAATACGGTATTAATTACTTGGGTTTGTTCCATTCGTCTTCGACGAGTGGGCCTAACAGTTTAATGCTGAAGTCTCGAAAAATTCTTCGAAGTCATTATGTTCATCTCATGGCTTGGATAACTTAATTGTCCTATCGAGAATCAGTTGATTTTCTTTTTTGTGATTTGTTAATGTTTTTTTTTTTTATATTTTAAAAAGAGTAATGTTTCGTTATGTGCTATAATTGATGCTCTTTATTTCAATGCAGATTAATTGTAATACCGGTATTTGAACAATTTCAAAGTCATGAAAGTCATGAAAGTCATGAAAGTCATGAAAGTCATGAAAGTCATGAAAGTCATGAAAGTCATGAAAGTCATGAAAGTCATGAAAGTCATGAAAGTCATGAAAGTCATGAAAGTCATGAAAGTCATGAAAGTCATGAAAGTCATGAAAGTCATGAAAGTCATGAAAGTCATGAAAGTCATGAAAGTCATGAAAGTCGTGAAAGTCGTGAAAGTCGTGAAAGTCATGAAAGTCATGAAAGTCATGAAAGTCATGAAAGTCATGAAAGTCATGAAAGTCATAAAAGTCATGAAAGTCATGAAAGTCATGAAAGTCATGAAAGTCATGAAAGTCATGAAAGTCATGAAAGTCATGAAAGTCATGAAAGTCATGAAAGTCATGAAAGTCATGACTGATTACTATTATGAAAATTCTTAAGTAGCCGGTAACATTATTTTTTCTTGGGTTCGCTGTTAGGATCAAGGTCACGTCAATTCACAAGAGAGAGACGCGTATGGAAGTGCTGGGACCGTGGCCGAAGAAGTCTTTTCAAATATTCGAACCGTTGTGGCATTTAACGGGGAAGACAAAGAAGCCAAAAGGTCAATGACTTTCCCAACGTTCAAATGGCTTTCATGAGATTGACACTATTTTATTAATTAAATACAATATAAAGAATGTACAGGATAAAAAAAAAAGCAAATACCTTCAAGACTATTCATTAGATTTTGAACATGCAATTATGATTACATAAGTGCATTTTCCTCTGCTGTGTGGAACAATTTACTTGACTTCTCTACAACTTACAACACTATATATGTATCTATTGCCACGCCAGAGGTGGAATCACGGCAGTGCACCAAATGCGTCAGATGACAGACACCGAATTAATGTCAGTCATTTTGCAACGATGTCAGGATTTCTCACCCTCTTCCATTTTTATAAGTCTCATGTCATCGGACGCAAGTTTTGTAAGGATACGTTGGTAACATGTTGAAATAATTACATCGCCTTTGCTCCAGCGTTGACGAATAACCATATACTTCTCAGCTAAGGTGGCGTCCATTAATTATGTCAACAAAATAGGAGGAGGGGGTAGGATATGTTTGATAATTGTAGACAAGTGGAGGGGGGGGATTAGATTAATTGACGTCAACAATCATGTTTTCTCTTTTAAAATTTTAAACTTAAAAATTGAACGATTTTTCCTTTTTTTTTCAAAAAAAAAAAAGAAAAGTTAAATGAGTATAAATAATCATAGAATGTTTAGGCTTTCAATATTATAATATTGATTTAATGTGTGTCTGTCTGTGCACTGCCGATGGCTGGTCAGAATGTTAGCACACTTTGTTAGTACAAGAGAAGTCAAAAGGTGGCCTCTATTCAACTGTAGACTCTGTTTGTCCCAAATTACTAGGATGATATGTTTGCGATCACGTTAAAGGTATGGAACAAGAACAAGGTTCAAGTGTCATGTGCAATCAAGATAAAAGATATTGATAGAGTAGGAATACGATATTTTGAGAATTAGGGGAAATTATTATTCAATAACAATAATAACATCGTGGAGTCGAAAAGGAAGCTACCGTATGACTTGCTTCGGTTCTGAGATTTCGGAAAATTCAATCAAATCTGGTCACTAATCTGACTCATGCAGCACATTTTACAAATCAAAACAATCAGTTATAGGTATAGCGATTTTTAAGAGGTATGCAGGGACATAAGACAGTTTTTTTACACAAAGAAATAGAAAAACAAAACAATCATCAGTTGATATTTGAGGCCTATGTAAGGGCTTTTTCAAGTATATGTAAGCAGGATAGTCAAAAGAAGTCAATAAAATTTGGAATTACTTAAAGAAAGAGGATCATTTTTTAGCAAAAGTAGATGCCTTATTAGCTAAATAGGCTGCAATACCACAGAAATATAAAGGAAAACTACTCGGCTTCTGGGCAGGTCATGCTTTGAAAAAAATGAAACTGCTTCTAGACAATTGGCTACAAATGTAACAGTAGAAGAAGACGATATAAAATATCAAACATTTAATAAGAAAGACCAGAAAAATGTTGATTTTTTGGAAGCTGATCCATCCAGTACATGTAGTAGTGGCAGTGAAGTAGAATCTGTTAGGTACAAAACAAAAGCCCAAGACGAGCTGCAGGGTCAAATAAATAACTTCAAGTGTGACATGATTGGCTTGTATACGCAAAAGGGCAGCGGTGACATAACTTTAGACCAGGAAAAGAAACTTAGAGAAAAGAAACTACAAGTTGATCAGCGAGAAAAGAAACTACAAGTTGATCAGCGAGAAAAGAAACTACAAGTTGATCAGCGAGAAAAGAAACTACAAGTTGATCAGCGAGAAAAGAAACTACAAGTTGATCAGCGAGAAATGAAACTACAAGTTGATCAGCGAGAAAAGAAACTACAAGTTGATCAGCGAGAAAAGAAGCTGAAAAGAAAAAAAAACGAGGAAGAAAAGCTGCTGTTGTTCAGGTAAAAAAAGGACATTTTAACTAAAATGTGGTCAGAGAATTCTGACATGATCGATAAGTTAAAGATCCGACAGACAGCTGGCCGACCACTTCTTCTCAAGACAACTTGCCTTTCATGGGTCAGCTGCTCATGACAAAGGTGGAGTGATATTTATCGCAGTGTCAAAACTCTAAATGAACTGACAGATCACCAGATGAACAAAGGTTTTCAAATAAATAGAAATGCTGTTTATACTAGATTTATACCACAAAACGAAGTTCATCGTTTGAGGGTAAAAGACATATCAGAACTATACCAATGAAATTAATTCGAGTACAACATGATTTTGTACGGCTACTCTAAATCATCTCGAGGAAATTGCCTTAATGTTGGGATTAAGAGAAGTGGGGTTCCTTTGTAGAACTGAATGGTTAGATTAGGATGATGTTGACTTGTCTGGTATTTCATTTCCGCAAGATGAAAATTATAAATGAGCTACTATGCCCATTGTTACGATAGAGCAACACCTAGCTGCTCCAATGGAGGATGATAACAGCTATAAACTATGCAACAATTGTCAGCTATACTGACAATAGTCATATTTCTAATTCCACAAACAATGATAATTAGTCTTTAACAACCTTTTAATTGATTCTGCATTATTAAAATTAAGTGTTAAAACTTTTTAACGTGTTGATGAACAAGGTAATGATGCAATAAAATGTGTTTCCTAACATTTGATGTGTCATTTAAATAGAACAATAGAAAGTAAAATGTATTGAAATATTTATTTATATTATAATTCATTTTTAGGGAGGCGTAAAATGTTGACTTATATACTTAGGGGGCGTCATTGAAAATTTGACAGTTATTGAAAACGGGGGAAAGGGTCAAAATTGCGTAAAAATTGTTGACATAATTAATTAAAGCCCCTAAAAGCATGTCTCTTAAAATTGTAATGTCAGTTATTAAGTCAGGAGACACTTATATTCATTGTATTAACAAAATTGTATGTATGTATGTATGTATGGCATCTTTCCGTCTGCGTGAGACGATAGATTATCTTTATTGCTTGCAGTTCTTGGTGTGGCTGGTGAGACCAATCCTCGAATGGCAGTCTCTGTTACATTTCCCACACACGAATGCAGTGGAGCAGTATTTACCGGCCTTCCTCCTCGCTCTTTTTGCAGCTATTTCCGCCCTGTTTTGATCCTCGGCATGTAGTGATCCTGCCTTCACGATGTCCCGCCACGAGGATGCATCCTCTGCCAGCTCCTCCCAGTTTGAGATGTCGATGTTGGCCGACTTCATGTCTCTTTTGCATATGTATAAGTATCTCAGACGAGGCTGTCCAACTGACCCTTTCCCTGTCGCCAGCTCGCTGTATAGCACGTCCTTTGGTATGCGACCAGGTTGCATTCGCTTGACGGAGGCGTCTTTGGATTAACATCGCTGGGACGCTACACATGTTTGTTTGGGACAGGACATCCGTGTTGGGGTTTGTCTTGCCATTTAATGTCCAGGATGTGGCGCAGGCATCTGAGGTGGAAGCCATTGAGCCTTCTTTCGTGGTTAGTGTATGTGGTCCACGACTCGCATCCATACAGGAGTGTGCTCAGTACGCAGGCCTGGTACACCTGCAGCTTAGTTCTTGTTGTGAGTTTGGCGTTTGACCAGACTCTTTTCTTCAGTCTGGCCATAACAGTTGCGGCCTTCCCTATCCTTCCACTTATCTCATCCTCCATTGAGAGGATGCTCGATATGTTGGATCCCACATATGTGAATCTCTTCCACCGCCAGAAGCAACCCCTGGCGCCTAGCTCTACACTAATTGAGCTATGGCTTAAAACCGGTAACTGCTGCTTCCCGTGTTGTGTTCACACCTTTCAGGCGATGTTGGAGTGTCCTATCCAGTGAAGATAAAGCCTGGGCGAAGTAGTATGGAGAATCAGCTGCTGCCCAGACAGCAGATCCCCCCTCTCCAAACAAATTTGTAATCCTTGTATATCATAAAATATTCAATCTTTTATGTTACATACATACAATAAGACAATTTTCACAGAATGGCTCAAACATTTTTTTATAGATAACCGTGTTTGTATTTTCAGATATTTGGAGCATTTGAACAAAGCCAGGGGCTTTGGTATTAAAAAGGGAATTAGGACTGGGTTGCAGAATGGGCTCAAATGGGGAAATGACTTTCTAGGCTATGCTCTTGGTTTCTATTACGGAGGCATATTAATCAGAAGTGGCGAATACAGTGTGTCTCAAATGATGACAGTGAGTACATTTATTGGAATATGTGTTTAAAAAATATATTTCAATGTTAAATTTTAAATTAGTAGTCGCTACTAAGTTTTTAGAATTAGCAAAGTAGAATTGTTATATTAGCCATCTCAATTTGAAAAAAATAAAATTTATATTTTAATGCAAGTAGGGATGCAAGAAACTCTAGATTGAGAGCCCTTTAACTTTCATGTGTCCCTTAGCCTTAAACTCCTAGTGCCTCTTTACTTTCAGGTGCCCCTTAACTTTTGTGTGGCCCTTATCTTCATGTTGCCCCTTTACTTACCGATGTTCCGAATTCTGAAAAACAATCTAGAAATAGACTATAACTGGTAATAGTTCCACAAACCTAGCAGTATAATATAACTTGTTAGAAGTAATTGGCGGTGGAATGGACCCAAACAAACACAACAAAATACACAGGTATCACAAAGCAGGCAATGATATGGAACTCAATAAAGTGATAAAGACAATGGAGGTCTCAGAATTCATTGGGACTCAACCTGAATTTAACGAGTAAAATGGTCAGATCATTTCTTGTGTCCTATTAGGGCACCACAAGTTTATAAATGATTTTGTTGTAATTGCAAGGAAATGAGCTAAACACATTATAAGGAGACCTGACAAAAGGACGCAATAAAACAACGAACGTGTCTGTAGAAGCCTTCACAAATAAACAGACAACAGTAAAAACAGTATTAAATAAAAATAGCACTTAGCTGTATTGCAGTATCCGAGAGAACAGCATTAACAACAGCTGTATGAATAAAATATTTGCAGTTAAAAAAGTAGGTCTTTTGTGCAAAATAAAATAATAGAGATAATGAATGTAAAATACAATTAATTTAGGAGATGCCGAGGTTGTGAGTAGCATCAATATAATGTTCTTAACTTAAACATAATGTCTTGCCTTAAATTAATCAAGCATTCTCTTCGTCAGGTGCTCTATGCATCATTTGTTGGAACTTGGTACATATCTTACGCTGCCAAATCCGCTAGAGGTTTTCAAGTTGCGAAAGTAGCATCAGTGAAAATATTTTCCATAATTGATAAGGTGGGTACATGATTCAAAAATTGATTTTAATTTTAGTTACTATCAGAGGGTCACAAGATGTTTTGAAATCTGGTCTGATAAAAAAAATATAATAATAAAATTTAATGAACAATTTTGAGAATTTGTTTTTGAATATCAGTCCATCAGTTCATAGATGACATACTTTAGAGGGCTGTCAGTCCATCAGTTCATAGATGACATACTTTAGAGGGCTGTCAGTCCATCAGTTCATAGATGACATACTTTAGAGGGCTGTCAGTCCATCAGTTCATAGATGACATACTTTAGAGGGCTGTCAGTCCATCAGTTCATAGATGACATACTTTAGAGGGCTGTCAGTCCATCAGTTCATAGATGACATACTTTAGAGGGCTGTCAGTCCATCAGTTCATAGATGACATACTTTAGAGGGCTGTCAGTCCATCAGTTCATAGATGACATACTTTAGAGGGCTGTCAGTCCATCAGTTCATAGATGACATACTTTAGAGGGCTGTAAAAAGTAAAACCGTGAAACAAAACCTAATCAAAAACTGACATAGGATGAATCAATGGAAATGACAATCTCATAGATTGCATACACTATAAGTGAGAGAAAGAAAGGGTCGAATCAGTGTTTACATTCACTTTAAAAATAAAATGTTTATGTAAATATCCAACGAACACATGATATTAGTTGTATGTTGAATTATCAATTTGCAATCTAATTAACAAATAATTGTATTCATAAGATAACAACTCACATTGGTTATTTTTTAATATGCATCTATATTTCCTATTTAACCTTGTCATTCATTTGGCTTCAGAAATCTACCATAGACAGCAGTTCAAAAGAAGGTCTTACACCCCAGTATATGTCAGGAACAATTGAGTTTAAAAATGTAACGTTCGCTTACCCTTCTCGACTGGAGGTCAAGGTTAGAAAATAAAATAAAGAAATCAGCTTTAAGCTGAATTAATTTACTTAATGAAGTTGCTCAAAATAGTTGTGCCTGCATCCCTGGGGGGGGGGGGGGGGGGGGGGGAGGGGCAAGGGGTTCGGGGGCCCCAGAAAAAAAAAATTTACTAGCATTTTTATCGCTTGAAAAATGTTTTGAAATTGAAATGGAGTGGGAAATGTTTTGAAATCAAGGAGGGGTGTGGAGTCGTAAAATGCTAAGAAAACCAAGAATTAAAAGATCAATTTAAATAGGCCTACCAAGACAAGAAAAAATGAATAACTTTTGTAAATAACCATATCAATCCCGTAACGAAGCAGATAAATGTAGATACAAATATTTTTAAAGATAGATTCTAGGCCTATATGTAGATAAAAAAAATTTCTACAACGTTTCATTATCAATCATATTTTAAAAAACACACTAAAGTTTTCATCAGGCCCTTCCTAACAATTGATACAACAAAGAGGCTGATGTCTGCATTTGTGCTATCACGCATGGACTATTGCAATGCTCTCATGGTGGGTCTTCCAGCTACGCTCCTGGATAAAATTCAAATAGCACAGAATAATGCGCTCGCATTGTTCTCCGCAAACGCAAATTCGACCAAGCAAAAACACTTCTGAGAGAGTTGCATTGGCTGCCGGTGCGTGCTCGCATAGAGTACAAAATTGCAACTTTGTGCTACCGCTGCTTACATGACCTGGCGCCGTCCTATCTGAAAGAGCTGCTGACGCCTTATGTACCCACTAGAGAGCTCCGCTCATCCGATAGTGGCAAACTCTCGACACCACGTGTTTGCCTTGAGACTTACGGAAAGCGCACTTTCGCATTTGCTGGTCCAACAATTTGGAATGCCCTTCCAGTCGATCTCAGAAACAACCAGACACTGGAGTCCTTTAAAACCGATCTAAAGACACATCTATTTCGCAAATACCTTCTGGGATGATTGGCTACCTTATTTTCCAGTTAATACATAATGGCTGTGTTGCTTGAGGTTGAAATGGCTAGAAAGACTTTGAGATTGTATGCTTGTAATTAGTTTTTGTAGTGTTGCGTTTGTTTTAAATGTGGTTAAATATAGATATGTTTTTTGTTGACTTTGTACCGCGCTTCGAGCCTTTTGGGGATGAAGCGTGTTTTTGAAATGAACTTTATTATTATTATTATTATAAAAAGTTACTTTTGACCTCAAAATAATTTAAAAAATATTGGTTAATTTCAGGTGTTAAATGACCTTAACCTTACGTTGTCCAAGGGTCAAACTGTAGCCCTGGTTGGTGCTAGTGGATGTGGTAAATCAACGGTTGTACAGTTAATTCTCAGATTTTATGACCCTATTCAGGGAAAGGTAATTTATGCCTCTTTTATTTTTATGAGTGTTTTAATTTTTTTTCAAGTTCATATTCATTTTAAAATTCAAATGTTCACAAAATTAAACAAAAGGCTATTAATTTAAGAAAACAACATCCTTCTAATAATACGACATTAGATATTTTATCACTATAATTTTTTACATTGTTTTGTTGTTCGTCCGTCGGGGGGTTGTTGGGATTACGGTGAGCTCGTAGGTGGCTTGCTAGACCGATCCTTGCTCGGAATAATCTATGACACCGTGGGCATGGAATAGTTGCTTCAGACGATGACCTAATGTTGCTCTTTCGGACAAGCCTGCGTGTCTCAGCTGTGGTTATTCTATTAGCTTCATGGGATTTAGCCCCCTTCTTGACAGCAGCTCACCACCTGGCTCTTTCCTGGTTTGTCTGCACCCATTGAGTAGTGTTTATGCTGAAGGCCTTTAGTGCCACTTTCAGTGAGTCTTTGTAACGCTTTTTTTGGCCTCCTTGGGAGCGCTTGCCTATCGTGAGATCTCCGAAGAATAATTGTTTCGGGAGCCGGTGGTCTGCCATATGGGCTACGTGTCCCACCCAACGGAGCTGAGACTGCATCAGAGTGGTGAATATACTAGGTAGGTTCGCTCTAGCGAGGACCTTGGTGTCGGGGACTTTGTCTTGCCACCTGATGTGGAGGAGTTTCCTGAGGCAGGTGAAAATGATTCAGTTTCTTGGCGTGACGCTGGTAGACTGTCCACGTTTCACATCCATAGAGCAGTGTCGGGAGGACTGCTGCGCTATAGACCTTGAGCTTTGTTTCTCGTCTCATACCTCTCCTGTCCCAAACAGTGCTACGGAGCCTGCCAAATAGGGCACTAGCTTTTGCGAGTCTGCCATTCATTTCATCATCCATGACGACAGATCTAGAGAGGGTGCTGCCCAAGTAAGTGAATTTATCCACCGGGTTGAGACGCTGTCCACTGATGATGATGTTGGGTTCAACGTAGGGCTTACTGGGAGCTGGCTGATACATCACATCAGTCTTCTTTGTGTTGATTGTGAGGCCAAAGTTATTGCAGGCCTCAGAGAAGATATCAACGCTGTGTTGCATGACGGCTTCTGATGGAGCGTTGAGGGCACAATCGTCTGCAAACAGAAGCTCGTTGGTCGTGGTATGTTTGACCTTGGTTTTAGCTTGAAGCCTCCTAGGGTTAAAAACTGATCCATCAGTACGAAACCGGATTGGCAAGCCCGTGGTGGAGTTCTTAAACGCATCAGACAGCATTGCGGAATACATAATACTGAAGAGTGTGGGAGCAAGAACACAACCCTGCTTTACACCGTTTGTGACGGGGAATGCTTGAGACGATTGACCGTTGTCCTGCACTCGGGCCACCATACCATCATGCAGCTGACGGATGATGAACTTGTCTGGGCATCCGTATTTCTTCATTATTTTCCACACGCCACCTCTATGGACCCTGTCAAAGGCCTTATTCAAGTCGATAAATGTAGAATATAGGTCTGTATTTTGTTGCTGACATTTCTCTAGAAGCTGTCTAGCAGCAAACACCATATCAAACCATATCGATGGTTCCGCGTTTTTTGCGGAAACCGCATTGACTTTCGGGTAGGAGACCTAGCTCCAGATGTGCATTCAGGCGGTTCAGAAGGGCTCGGGCCAAGATCTTGCCTGCAATGGACAGTAGTGAAATTCTGCGGGGATTGTCGCATGCCTGGCGGTTTCCTTTGTGTTTGTACAGGTGGATAATTGAGGCATCCTTGAGGTCTTGTGGTACAGTTTCCGTCTGCCAGATAATTTGGAATAAACGCAATAGCTTACCCGTCAGCGCTGGTCCACCCTCCTTGTAGATTTTGGCAGGATTCATGTCGGGGCCAGGTACTTTGCCATTGGACATTTGGAGGATCGCTGTCTGTATCTCATCAAAAGTTGGGACGGCGTCCATTGAATTGATCGTTGGGACCTGAAGGAGTCTTTCAATGGCCTCATCATTAATGATGGAAGGTGTATTGAGCACACTTTCAAAGTGTTCCGCCCATCTTTCCAAGATTTATAATTTTTTACATAGGTTTGCATTGATGGACGCAATATAAAAGATTTGAACATTAAATGGCTACGTCAACACATCGGTTTTGTTAGCCAGGAGCCTGTTTTATTTGCCACCACAATAGCAGAGAATATTCGTTATGGAAGGGAAGACGCCACAATTGAAGAGATTATAGAGGCCAGCAAGAAAGCAAATGCATATGATTTTATTATGGCTTTGCCTTTGGTAAGTTATAATCTGTATAATTTATATTGCCATCTTATAAATTTAAATATGATTTTATAATGACTTTACCATTGGTAAGTTATAATCTCTATAGATTTTATTACCTTCTTATATTTATGATTTTATAATGGCTTTACCATTTAGATAATGTTTAATGACTATTCATTACATTGCCATCTTTTCATTAATTATGTTTCCAAACAAAACTACAAATTGAAATAGTTGATTTATGAGATTAAAAATGATTTCAATTTATTTAGCAATAAGAACTTGTATTAATGTAATGTCTCTGTTGCAGCAGTTTGAGACTTATGTTGGAGAACAAGGGGCACAACTCAGTGGAGGTCAGAAGCAGAGACTGGCCATAGCAAGGGCATTGATCAAAGACCCAAAAATTCTGTTACTTGATGAGGCAACCTCAGCTTTGGACACAGAGAGCGAGTCTATTGTACAAGATGCTCTTGAAAAGGTTTTATTCTGGGATTAAGTAATTATTAATGAAAAAATAACATGTTTTGCAATTAAAATTAAATTTGAGCTAAAAGTATAACAAGAATTCTTTCTTTAAAACCTCATTTAGGCTAGTCAAGGGCGAACAACTATTATCATTGCTCACAGACTGTCGACTATACGAAATGCTGATCTCATTTTAGCATTGAAAGGTGGAAGTGTAGCAGAGCAGGGCACACATGATGAACTTATGACCAGAGGTGGAATCTATTTTCAATTAGTCACTTTACAGGTTGGTCTAATTTTAAAAAAAATTATTAGATAATGTAAAGTTTTCTTTTGCGTATTTGTAAAATACACATATTTAATTCGTACAAATATTCATTTTACGGTGGGATAAGTATTTATCATATAAAATGCTACTATGAATAGTTACTCGGCACTTTTACAATTATTGGTAACATTTTTAGCTTTTAACATTCATTAAAATTCAAAGTAGCAGAGTTTTTTTATGCATTAGTGAATTTAGTGTCTACTTTCATTGTAACTAATTAAGAAAAATAAACCATTGTGTATTCTACATTAAACTCGGAAACTAGAATTACAATGCATTTAAATAAAACCCTCATTCAGTGTTAGTATTATAATTTCAGCAAGAGTTTAAAACAAAGTCTTAATTTTTATTTTGTAATTTATTTTATCAAATGCATGCAGACCAAAAAAAGTAAGTAGTATTCATTTTAATACTGGTATTAAAAGAAACACAATTCATTACTGATCATTAATCTTGTTGTGAAATATGTTAATGAAATTGAACTTTCTGAACCACCTTTTGGAAAAGAGCTTTATGTATTTACTTTAAAATATAAACTATTACTGAATGAATTATAGATTATGCAGTAATGTAAATTTAATAATATATGTCATTTATATAAAATAAGAGCATTTTTTAACAATGCAGACCTGATTTAACAAGACAAGTTTTCTGTTTTTGTTGTTGGATTTGATTTATATACATTCATTTTTATACGAAGATGAGTATTTCAGTGACAGTGCTATCCATTCACCAAAAGAAAATAATAAAAAGGCTGAAAATTTCAGATGGGACATGGCAAAAGGGAGCCAAGTTCTAGATAATGTGAGTTTTTTTAATATCTATCAAAGATATCTCTAAATCCTCAGCAAAGTTAAAATGTTTATTTGACTCAAATCTTTTAGTAATCAATAGCCACATTGAAATTTAACAATAGGACCTCATCAAATTCTGAATACTTTGTCTTCTTGTCCTCAACATATTATAGAAATACATCTTTATTATATACAATTGTTTTTTTTTGTTTTTTTTTAAAGTATACTGTTTATTCATTTGCATAATGTCCCTAGATGTAGGGATCGAATTCAAATGGACTGCAGCTTTAAGTAAAACATAATAATGCAGTTGCTTTTTTTTTATTCAATCAAAATTATTCAATATATATATACAGATTAAACTATTTTATATACAATTGTGCTTTAACATGATACATTAAATATTAAAATATTAGACATTAGCAACATTTTAAAATATTGCTCTTTAAATAAAAATATGGTTTGTATAATCTTTTGCATTTAATTTATTTATTGAAAAATATGTATTTAATGTATTACTAACAAAATTATTGTTACAATTTACAATGATTGAGCATACATCATCTATTAAATTCTTATTTGACAGAAAGACCAAAGAGTAGTGGAAAATGTAAAGCAACAAAATGTTTTAATGAGACTGTTGAAACTAAATGCTCCAGAAAGGCTTTACATCAGTATTGGTTTGTTGGGGAGCTCATTAACTGGTTGTGTACAGTGTATCTGGTCTCTCTTCATTGGATATATTCTAGAGGTAGCAAAATATTATTGAAGGAAATATTTTTATTTTTTTGTTTGATCGTTATAAAGGATCATCTCATAGTAAGGAAAAGGAAAACAATTTTTGTGGGATATTGTTGGAAAAACAATTAAACAATTAAAATTTATATAGGGGACTGTGTTCAAGCTATATTCAGTAAATAAATAAGTTAACAAGCTATGTTTAGACTTGAAACAATACATTAACAATTTATCCGTTATTTATTTTAGTATTGTTTGCTCAAGAAGGCATCCAGCCAAAACGTCCATTTAAATGTCCTGTCTTTTTTTTCAAGCAAAAACATACCGTATTTTATGTACTATAAGACGCACTTTTCTCTTCAAAAAATTGCCTCCAAAATTCAGGTGCGTCTTTACTCGAAATTAATATAAAAATTTGTAAAATGTTATTTTAAAAAAAAATTGCTGAAAAATTAAGGTGTGTATTACAGTCTGTAGCGTCATATAGTCTATAAAATAAGGTATACTGTTACATTATTTATTTAAATAATTATAACTTTTATAATTTAATTTTCTTTGTATTTATTTAAAGCTGTATTTAAAAATCTAGAGTAAAGTTATGAAGAAGTAAAAATAAGTGTTTCAATGTTGGATTCAAGTGAGGTTCCATTTGATGATACTGCTGAAATCATATAACTTTAATGCAATCATTGTTCTAACAGTAATTAAAATCCCTATTATTTTAAACAGGCTTTGTCTTCTGTTGATTTGAAGTCACAGGAGAAAACTATAAATCTAATGAGTCTTCTATGTGTTGGTGTTGGAATTGTAGTCATCTTTACAAGCATAGCTCAGGTTAACATAATAAATATTATATGCTCATTAGTGAAATTTTAACTCGCAGAAGTAACTTTATTTTCATAATTTTGTAATTTTTCTCTGAAAGTTAAATATATTTTGCTCAGTTCAAAAGTAACTTTTAAAACTCCAAAAATTTAAATATTATTACTTATCAACCTGCATTGATTCTATCTGAATTTGGAAACTGTTGACAAAGAAAGATTTAATTTCCAAATGAAATTTTCTAGCTAAGGATACATGATTATGAAATACTTCTCAACATTGTAATCTTTTCTGAGTTACAACAGCCTAAAAAAATATCTAAATAAACTGAAAGTATGACAATATGTTTAATTGTTCCAGGATGCAATGTTAGCTGTCTCTGGTGAATCTCTCACAACTAGATTACGTGATAAACTTTTCAGAGCTACAGTCAGACAAGTAGGTTATTTTTAAAATGAAATTTTATTAAATAATTTTAAAAATAAATATAAATATTACAATTCATTGCTAAAGAAAAAAAATACCACTCATGGCCTCAACTATCACATAATATTTACATATTTTATTTATTCCAAACTTTTATTGATACGTAAAATGTTTCAGCCTACACTCTAGTCTCACTTAATATTGTGTCCACTTTTCTTTTAGAAAATGTCATGGTTTGATGACCCCAAGAATTCTATTGGAATTCTCACAACCAAGTTAGCCACAGAGGCATCTCAGGTACAAGAGGTGAGTATATGTTTTTAAACCAACCATTCAATAATTTTGTGTACTGTGACACCATCTTTTCATTTAAAAATATTTCACATCCATCCATCTCTGTGGCACTATAGCCAGTGTAGGGCTTTGGCCTGCCCCCCCTCCCCACTTCTTTCCACTCAAACCTAGCTAATGCTTTTATTTTTCATGCTTGGATTCCCTGTAGATCTTTGTTCACATCATCCATCCATCTAAGTCTGCCTTTGAGTTGTTTTCCTCTGGGGTTTTGGTTATGTACCCTCTTCACTCCTCTGTCTTTTGGAATTCTTTCTAAGTGTCCTGATATGCACTATACAATACCTGATTGGTTTGTATTCCCCATTCATATTACTCCTTTCTTGGTCCAATTCCGGTGAACTTTTCTCTACCATGTGTTAAATTGGGTTTTTTTTTGTGCCATTTTTGTTAGTGTCAAAGTTTCACTTAAGTATGTTACAACTGGTCTGATTACAGTTTTATAAATAGTTTTCTTTCCTCTTCTTATAACGTTTTCACTTTTGAGTATTTTGTGATTACTGTAGATATTCCTTCTTTTATTTCTGTTAGTAATTCATATCTTTCATTTAATAAAAATCCTAGGTATTTGAATGGATTTACTTTTTCAAAAGTCTGGATTCAAATTTTAATGGTTTCATCTGTCTGTTCTTTTCTTATCATAGTCATTTATTTTGTTTTTTGTTGTTAAATTCCAGCCCTGCTTTTAGTGATGTGTCTTCTAATTTGAAAAATTTAATTTGTAAAAATATTCTCTAAACATAAGTATGATATATTTACTTTCAGAAATTGTTTAGAAAACTTAGTATTAATAGCTTCTATATAAATAATGTTAAAATATATTTTTTTTAAAAATACTTTAGGCATTTACTACAACTATTGGACTGATTGTCAACTGTGCCACAATCTTCACTATGGGAGTAGTCTTTATCTTTTACTTCAGCTGGAAAATGGCTTTTATTTTTATAGGTGCTGCACCGATTGTGCTTGTAAGGTAGAAATGTTTTTTTTTATTTTCAGTTAATTTAAAATTAAAAGGGAAAATATTGATATTTATTCACTACATTTTTAATGGCGGTATAATAAATATACATTGTTTATAAATAAAATACTTTCTATCATCTTTTTAAGATCACCAAATATTTTTTGATTTGATATTTATATGTTTTACTTGTGATATTTTTGGGTGATATTAGATCTTTAATACTGGTAATGTTTTTGGTGCAAATTCAGATTTATTAAGTTTCTTGTAAACAAAATTTTAATCAAGACATAATTGTTTCTCTCAGTGCTAGAGGACAACAAAATCTCACACTTGCAATTAAAAAGGCATCAAGGGAGTTAATTGAAATCACTTCAGCAGTAAGATGATAATATATTTTAATTAGAATAAAAAACAAAACAATGAGTATGAGTAAGTAATATCATATAAAACATTTGCTTATGTAACAGTTCTTAAGTAACATGATAACTAGAACTGTTTCATAGAAAATGTAATATCTTTATGTCTTTGTGTTTGAGAATATAATTTTTAAAAGATGCATTTATATAAAAAAGTCAAATTCACATGATAACATATTAATGTACACACAGGAAATGTCTCCCTCTAGGCCTCTAATAAATAGTTATTAAAATAAATTTTATTTGTTTGCTGTTCTATAAAATCAGTTTAAAATTAAAATCACTGTTTTGTTCATATTAAAATGTGCTTTTAAAGATTGAATTAATGGTCTCAAATTGTTCATTATTTTAAATGAACTTTACTAGGGTGCTTTACAGAGTATCAACAATATTCGATCTGTTGCCTCATTGACTATAGAAGATGAGTTTTATGAACAATACGCAAGAAGCTTTGAGAAATCTACTCACAGTATGAATGGCTACCTTCTCCGTGCAGGAATCTGCTATGGCTTTTTCACATCCATTCCTTACTTTGTTAAATGTGTTGGTTTCATTGTTGGAGGAATGTTGGTAGAATCAAAAGAACTGGAGTTTTATAACATGTTAAGGTATAAATATATAAAAAAAACTCAATCATTTTTGTATTTTGCAATAAAAGCATTTCACGTTTCTTTCTAAACATAGAGAGAAAAAACAAGCAGGGTGATAATTTATGTAAACCGTTACCATTGATTACATATTTTTAGGCTGGCCATCAAATAGTCTTATCTCATTTCTTAAATGCAAACATTTGGTTTAATACAAATTAATATTCCATAATATTAAGCTGTTTTTCTACAATATTCTTTAATTTTTTTTTATTTTAGAACATTAACCTGCATGTCTATTAGCTCTACCTCACTATTCCAAGGACTCATACTTCTGCCAGATGCCACAGCTGCAAATTTTTCCGCAGAAAAAATCTTTACTTTAATAGATGAGGCTCCTACCATTGAGGAATGTAGTGGTGGTAGCTTAACTATAGATGAGGTAAATCTGACAGAATAAACGTACGTCTGAGGTTTTAATATCTATTGCCAAATAATCAAATTTGTATGACATTAAACTTTAATCTTTACATACATTATTATGTTCATGAACTTACCATTTACCTATCTCCCCTAGGAAGAGTTTAAAAGTTCTGTCCATTTTTCTGGGGTCCACTTTCACTATCCTATGCGCTCAGAACAATCAGTCCTTAACGGCCTTGACCTTCAAGTTAGCTCAGGGAAAACATTGGCTTTGGTTGGTGAGAGCGGCTGTGGTAAAAGTACAACAATGCAACTCTTGGAGAGATTTTATGATTGTCAACAAGGAAATATTGTAAGTTTACCTGTGTGACATCTTGTCATAAAATGCATTGTCATCACTTAATAACTTAATAAAAATTACTGCATAAGTAACAGGGCTCTGTTACACTAAGTTTGTTACAGTGGGTCTGGAAAAATGCAAAATGATTAAATTATTAAATATTATTCTGTAACATTTAATTTGAGACTCACTGCATTATTTTGTGAGATATTTTAATAGATTTGCCTAATTATGATTTATATTGATGTGTTCTTTGATTAATTAATATTCTTTAAACGCTAGTTTTGTACATCAATTATCAACAGCTGTTAGATGATAAATATGACATCAAGGACTTGAACATTCCATGGTTACGCCTTCAAATTGGCCTTGTATCCCAGGAACCGGTTCTGTTTGATAGAAGTGTCTCTGAAAATATTGCTTATGGTGACAACTCTAGAAATGTTAATATGGAGGAGATTATACAGGCAGCTCGTGCTGCCAACATACACAATTTTATAGAAGCCTTGCCTTGTGTAAGTCTAGATTTGTCTTTGTAATGAACTAGTTAAAATCAATACAAACTTTTCTTTTCCTTTTAAATTAAAATTTTAATTAATTATCTTTTGTGTACTTTTTCATCAAATTCTTTTGGTACAATTAAAGTGTTACAATCACCAATGTGGTACAATCACCAAGCTTGTGCAATTTTAGAGATCCAGCACTCATGAAGATGCTGCATTCATTTGGATGGTATAATCATCAAGATGTACAATCATCAAGATAAAACAATCATTGAGATGATGCATTCATTGAGTTGGTCCATTTATCAAGATTGTAAAATCTTTGAGATGTACAATATTTAAGATGGTACAATCACCAAGATGGCACATTTATAGAGATGGTACAATCACCAAGATGGCACATTTATAGAGATGGTACAATCATCAAGATAATACACTTAACAAGATTTTACAATCAACAAAATGGTACAATCTATAAATTTAAACATTTCAGGGTTATGAAACAAACGTTGGAAGCAAAGGGACACAACTTAGTGGTGGCCAGAAACAGAGAATAGCAATAGCAAGGGCACTTGTTAGAAACCCAAAAATATTATTATTGGATGAGGCAACATCAGCATTGGACACAGAGAGTGAAGAGGTAAAAAAACTAAATTTTATTAAATAATAAAGCTTGTGATTTTTAGAAAATTTTATTGAAAATTTTCTCAGTCTCATTGAAAACAATACATTTTTTTTTCGGGTGTGGGGTGAGGGGGGGCAATGTGTGTTACTTTCAGGTGTTTTATAATAATGGAGTAAGTTGACTGATGCTTTTAAAAAAAAAAAAAAACTTATTTAGTCTCATCATCTTATTTTGACTTGATGATTTTGATTTGGAACATCTTTATAAAATCTGTATATCTTTATAAAACCTTTATATATTGAGAAATTTTTAAAAAATTAATTAGTTAATGTAGAGATTTTCTTTAATAGAAGAACAATTATTTCAAATTTTGAAATATTTACTTATTTACTCAGTAGAAGTAAAAAAAAAAATAGTTGTTTTATGATTCATAAATCATTTTTAATTGGTAAATATCATTTCAATATTTTTGTTATGTATAACGACATATCAGGTAGTACAAGAGGCTTTGGACAAGGCAAGAAAAGGTCGCACCTGCATCGTTATAGCTCACAGGTTAAGTACAATCACATCTGCTGACACCATTGCTGTGTTAAAGAAAGGTGTCATCCATGAAATCGGAACGCACAGGAAACTCATGGCCAAACGTGGTCTATATTACCAGCTACAGATGACCCAGACTGGTTAACATCTTATAACATGTCTGTTTTACTGGGACACACATTGTGTTCTTAAGGCTGATAATACAAAAGTCTCACAGTGAATAGGGATATCAATGACAGTACTTTAAAATCTATCTGTGAGCTTGGACATTTGCTAAACCTTTAAATAGTAGAGACATGTAAATGGCAATAATTTACCTTAGATGCAAGTGCTGATGAGTGTGACAAATTTATAAATTTATATATGAGATGTATGATTCAAGAGTTAAAAAGCTATGGGTCAGAGTGACAATTTATCTAGTGTTGATTTATAGTTTTTGAAACAAAACTGAAACGACAATAAATGTTTTATGTAAATTAAATTTTGGCCTTTTATTTGTTCAATATTTTCATCACTTCAACATTCCAGTAGTTTCATCAATTGTGTTTACATTAAAGTTCTCTGCCTAATCAAGAATGATATTTATTTTGGTTTGTTACAGACCTAGCAACCTCTGGAGTATTGAATCCTGTACACAAAATAAAATAAACCCTGTACACAAAATAAGATAAATCCCAAATACAAAATTTAAAAAATGTTGTACACAAAATAAAAGAAACCATGGACACAAAATTAAAACCAGTAAATAAAATAAAAGAAATTTATACACCGGGTACATAAAATATTCAATGCCAAATTACTTAGGCCAGATATCATTAATTATTTTTAATCAAATTATTCTCTTTTTGAAGCTTTAAGATATATTTGTCCTTTTTAATGATGTCTCGATTGGCAATGAATCCCAAGCAACAAGTTCATGTGTTATTGTTACAGTTGCAACAATATGTAAACTAGATCAAAGTTTGAATTGTGTTGCATTTGTGTCTGTGTCAACAATGGGATTGTAATTTAATAGGGCTGAGAATGGCTTCCCTCAGCTTGCATAGCTGTGAGGGAAGAACAGAAAACACTTTCAGTAGAGTTAAGATATTTGCAATATTTCTGATTACACAATTCTGGAGGTGGCACACTCTTAACTCCATTAATTTTGTAAAGTTCCTTGCAAAGCTTCGGTCTAAAAAAAATAAATATATTTCCCTCTAAAAAAATCTATAAGTCCCCCTTAAAAAACTATATAGCCCACTAAAAAAATCTATATACCCACAAATAAAATCTATATACCCCAATAACAAAATTTATATGCCCACCAATATAATCTATTTATATTAAAGTAATATTGTCTATATACCCCACTTCACTATAAAAATTTACAAGGCCCACTAATTAAAGCAACCACAAGGAATTAGGTGTCAAATTAAATGAGTCAGCTAGCAACTTCCCACTCCACTTGTGTCTAACTCTCTTATATAAATCTTAAAATTTTATCTATGCAATAACATCTTCCCTCTTTAAGTTTAAGCGTAGAAGTAGAAGGGAACACTAAAAAGAAGATAATAAAGGTGGTGTGTAAATAATTATTTTTCCACATCTGATGATCCTTTCATCTATTTTACAATTTCTTGAAGTGGGTTGAAGCGAAAGAAAAATTTTATAGGAGGCGTCCATTAATTATGTCAACAAAAAACTCGAAAGGGAAAATTGTGACACTTGTTGATAAGTGGAAAGGGAGGTTAAGATGAATTGACACGAACAACCCTATTTTCTGTTTCAAAATTTTTATCTTACAAATTGTAAAAGTGTTGGCCAGCATTAAAGCTTTTAGGCAGCTTAATGAGAGACAATTTGTGTCATTAAAACAAATGTTAACCTTTAATGCTTTAGTTATTTATGTTTATGCACAATACAAATTAAAAAAATTATGGCAAATGACGTCATCAGTACAACAACAAAAACATCATATATGTATACGTATTTATAATATTTACATTTTATGTATGTACATAT